ACCCAGGCTATACTCTCCAGAGACAGTGCACTAGACTTGGCCACACATTGGAATTATCTGAGAAAACTTTTAAATATATGGGTGCCTAGGCCCCAGCCTACACCAGTTAAATCAGAACACTTGCATTACAGTAACAATTATTCATTCTTCACTAATCTAGATTCCTCATCAGCAATTACCAAATAGCAATATTTTCTTTGAAAAGTCTCTTAGCTATGTCTCTTCCTTTCTCTTTACATTTATCATCATCCCATATTCAAAGCCCTTAGTACTTCAGAAAAAGCAATAATCACAGTCACTGTTACTTAGGCACTAAGCTAAATTTTTACACCTATCACTTTATTTACTCTAATCATTTTTAAAACTGTGAGGAAACTCACAGCCACATGGCTAGCAAAAGAGAAGAGGATCTGGCTTCAAAGCCAGTGGTCATCACCCCTCTGCTCTGCTGTCTCCATTCTCTCTCTCTTCCAGTCCATCTTGCTTGAAGCCCCGTAATGACCTTCCTCAGAAATGTCTGTAGCACTTTTCTTTGCTCAAGAACCTGTAGTACCACAATTGTCTGCTCCATTTGTTCTCTGTTTTTCAGTATGGCTTTCAAGGTCATCAATTTTATGGCCCTTTCTCAAATTACTAATTGTATTCTCCAGGGAAATTCCTTCAGGCCAGTTCTTTTGTTCTTTTTATGGACCTGGGCTACTTCTCTGTAAAGTGAATTTCAGACCAAACATCTGGGCACATTTACCGTATCACACCCCTGATATGCTAGAGCCGGTCTTGTGCCAGAGCTTTGTCTCTGGATAAAATGGAGAACGGCTCTCTTCCCTTTGCATTATGCTCTTCTGTTGGGAGAGGGTTGTTGAAAGCTGTGCTTCTGGGGTCCCCATGCTGTGCAGCAGTTTTAGACTGTTACCTGTCACTATTTTGAGTCTAGTCAGTCTGGGATGAGGATGCAATGTGAGTGCCAGTCACTATGCTGAGATTGGAATCATCCTCCCCGCAAGGATAGTGCTCTCTTGCTGTTCAAGAGCTTAACCATTCCTGACATGCATGCATTCAAATGTTAGTTCCTGTGTCAGTAATTGATAAGTAAATAAAAATAATACATATGTAAATCCCCTAACAGCACCTTATGTATAGTAGGCACTTGATAAATAATAGTAGCTGATATTATTTAATTCTCATTATTATTACAAAAATTCTATAGTCACCTGGGCTACAAAGATGAATGATAGCCCCTGCTCTAGCCAAGCTCTGATAAAAGCAGAAGAGACTGACACAGTAACAACTGATTACAATGAAATATAATAACTAAGCAGGGAGGTCAGTGCTGAGTGCTTTAGGGGCACAGGGATGGCTGAGGGTAGATTTCACTGAAGAAACATTGAATTGGCCTTGAAGAGTGAGTAGAAAGATTTATATTTTTCTTTTTAAAGGTTTTGCACATTTCATTTCAGATTTATTCTAGGGAATACTAAAGGGCACCTTTTATAAGAATTACATTTTCTAATTATTGATGAAAAATAACTATTGATATTTGTAAATTGAGCTTGTATCCAGCAACCTTACTGTACTAAACTGGTAGAGCCTTTTTGGTTTTCTGTGCATATAATCATATTGTTTGCAAACAATGGCGGCTTTGTTTCTCTCTTTGCAGTCTTCACATATTTTCTTTTTCTTATTATATTAACTAAGCACCAAAATAGGAGCAGCGAGTGGGCATACTTGACCTGTTTCTAGCTGAAATGGGAATGTTGACTCAAGTAAATGACTGAGGCAAAGATCTCAATCAATGGAGGTTTATTAAGCCAAGATTTTGAGGATGCACGTGGGAAAAACATGAACCGCAGACAAGCTGTGGCCATTTTTCTGAAGGGGAAGTTGGAACCATCATTTAAAGCATACAGAGAGAAGGAAAAGGGGGTGGGGCTGGTTTATGAGACATTTTGCCTAAAATAAGGGGAATGTCAGAAAGAAGAAAGGTAGTGAAGGAAGCACCAATTATGTAGATGCCCCTGGGTAGGTGGAGGAATGTATGATTCTCTCTTGTCTCCAGTTCCATTACCTATAAACTTGTAATTCATTATTAGTGTGGAATAGGCTTTAGTTTTAGGTGGTAAACATAGGTACAATTTGCATGTCCTTGCTTATGGGAGGTTAACAAGGAATTTCCTTAATGAATGATCTGTGAGGCCATTTCTTCACAGGTGCCTGAGACTTTATATTTTCTCTTTTACATAAGGAGTTGAGGTGGAGTGTCTGGCCCTGAGACTTTGATTTTCTTTTTATGGGAATTTTCTGGGATTCTAATGTTTCCAAGTAAGTATTGTAACAGAGGTGACCTGAAAAAGGGTAAAAATGTTTTACAAGCTGTCTCTTTAAAACCTCCCCCACTCTTTTTGAGAATTGAAACCTGCATCAGGTGTCAGGCCAGTGGTTGGGAGGGGCAAAGGAATGTCCTTTGTTCTTTGTACCACAGGAGATGGCTCTATGGAACTGTCTGGAATTGTCCAGTCTGGAGGTCCAGATGGAGGTCAAGAGATTGTCTTCCCAGAGATAGGATGAATCAGAATCATCAGCTATAGTTAACAACAATAGCCAGAAGCTGAAAACCCTCCCTTTAAGAGTTCTGTATTTCTGCTTATAGTTGGGAAAATTGGTACTTTAAGACAGGAGTCTGTTGTTTACCTCATTTGCCAGCAAATTAATAAATCTTCCTTTCCTTCTCCTCAGACCATTTGTCCTCATTCTTCTGATGCGGCCTTGGGGACAAGTGCCAAATTTTCAGTAATAGTATAGTGTTTGCATTTTTTTTGTTAGGTAGTTTTTATCAAGTTAAAGAAATTTCCTCCTCAATTTGCTGAGAAATTTTATGATGATTGGAGTTGAATTTAATCAAATACTATTCCATCTATTGAAATCATAATATGATATTTCTCCTCTAGTCCATTATTATAAAGAATTCCAATAATGGGTATTTTTAACTTAAGAAAGTTTAGACTAGGCATAGTGGTATGCACCTGTACTCCTAGCTATTCAGGAGGCTGAGATGAGAGATTTGCTTGAGCCCAGGAGTTCAAATACAGCCTGGGCAACATAGCAGACCCTATCTCTAGTAAGTAAAAGATAATTTAAAAAAATCATAGACTCTAAAATTATCTCAACGTTCTCATGTTGTATTTTTTTAATACATTAATTTAAATCTGTTTCTTTTCTCCTACTCCAAAAGTTCCATTCCCATTCATTAGGGTGGAGCCCTTATGACCCCATTAGGCCCCATCTCCCAACACTGTTACATTGGGTGTTAAGTTTCCAACATATGCTTTTTGGGGGACATATGGTTGGGATTCAGAAAACAATACCCCAAAATGAAGGCCTCAGAAGCAAGAGTTTTTCTCTGACCTTCTCCTGCTCTCCTGTCCCTCAGTCCTATATTCCCTCGAGGCTAGTCATAGAAACTAGAATCCCTCTTCCCCAGGGCAAGTCATAAAAACCAGAACCTCATTACCCCAAAGCTAGCCATAAAACCCTAAAAATATTAGTCTATGTAACTTTTCCTCTACCCTATCTGTGTAAAAACTGGCCATAAAGAAATTATTTTACTCACCTTGTTTGACTATAGGTCACAAGACCTCCATTCCAGAGAAGTACTGCCCCACACCCAGAAGGTAGGAATGCATGCTCAGAAAGGCCAAAAAGAATCTAGACAGACAGGCCTTGCTGGATATCCCCACTCAGCCTATCAGCATTAGATCATACTCTTTTTGTCCAATCATATTTTTGCATGGCTGTCCATACTTTGTCAAACCTAAGCATAAAAATGGACAATTTCCTCTATATCTTTGGGTCTTCATTCTGAAGGCTCCCATGTATACATGTTAAATAAATTTGTATGCCTTTTCTCCAACTAATCTTTCTTTTGCCAGGTGATTTTTCAATGAACCTTCAAGGGGCCAAGGTCACACACATTCAAACCATAGCATCCCTCTTGCTGCAATTACTAATAAATGAAATTGTTCAATTACTGGTGTGTTCCTGGTCTTAAAGGCTTTGACAGGACCTAAAAGACATATCAACTAATGACAATGTATGAATTTTATTCTGATTCTGATTAGAACAAATGAACAGTGGAAAAACAGTTATTAAGACCATAGGAGAAATTCGAACACTGATGACAGAATATTTCATATTAAGCAATTAATGTCTTTTTAAAGAGATGACATCTCTCTATGTTGCTCAGGCAGGTCTCAAACTCCTAGTTTCAAGTGATCCTCCTGCCTCAGCGTCAGAGGTGGGAGCCACTGCACCCTGCTCAATTAGTTGTTTTTAAAGGTGGGATAATGGTATGGTGGTCATTTATTTCCCCCAAAAAAATATTTTTTAGAGATATGTGCTTGCATAATTACAGATATGATGTCTGAGATTTGCTTCCAAATATCCCTGGAGAAGGAAGAAGTGCTTAGAGCTATAGGCAAATCAAGATTGTCAAAATGCCAGTAACTATTAAAGCTTGTTGTTAAGTATGGTAATTCTTCTATTCTTATGTATGTCTGAAATCTTCCAAAGGTTTTTTAAAATTTATTTTTAATATTCTTTTAGGAGACAGCAATATTGTAAGACCAAAGAAAAGGCCATATCTGGGCACCCAAAAAGGTTGGCATTACTGTTATACAGGCCAGGGCCTTCCCTTCTGTCTTCCACATCTGAATCAGGGCTGTCAAGTAGAAGGTGTTCCTACGTATCTCAGGCAAATAAATGTACAAATTAATAAAATAGGATGTAGAATTCAAAGTCCGAGGCAACAACTAATAGGCTCTTCAGACACCCCACCAGCTCCTTCATTCCCTCTCTACCGAGTCTCTGCACACATCCAAGATGGTGGTGTGTCAGGACAGTGAAACAGGTCAGCGCTCCCTCCCAGCGTGTGCGCGGGCGCCGGGCTGCGCAGGCGCATTCCTGCTTCCCTCGCCGACCTTGGCGGATTGCGCCTGCGCAGTAGGGGGATGCTCGCGGCTCAGCTTTGGGCTGGCTGCAGTCTCAGTCTGAGGGCGGCTGAATTGGTTGTTTCATTTAAGATGAGGCTTCTGCTGCTTCTCCTGGTGGCGGCGTCGGCGGTGGTCCGGAGCGAGGCCTCGACCAACTTGGGCGGCGTGCCCAGCAAGAGATTAAAGATGCAGTACGCCACAGGGCCGTTGCTCAAGTTCCAGATTTGGTGAGTATGTGCACCGGACCCGGGCTGCCTCGCCGTGCCTCTGCTCGGCGCCGCTCGCTACGCAAGCCCCCGGCTTCGCGGCCTAGCTGGCTACATCTTCCTGGTCCTGAAGAACGGCGCCGGCGCCCTTCCGCAGCATGCCTTCCCTCAGGCATTACTGTGGGACGGTCAGGCCGCCCTCCTTCCTTCCAAGTACAACCGCTCACTTCTTTTTTGCCTCCTAGAATGCTAGGAATAGGGAGAGGGCACGAGAAGGTTAAACGCTGAAAGGCGAGGACGAGGGATCTCTTATCAGTACAGAGGACCGGTTGGCGGCGTCACGCCATAGCTACCCTGGCTGCCTGCAGAGATGGGAATGAGTAGGCGCCGCGTCGGCGGAGGAGCGCCAGGCGTTTGTCGTTCAGTTCACTTTTTCTATCCCATTTTCCGGGGTCTGCCTGGCGAGGTGTTGGTTAATTCGGGTGGTTGGAGAGGATCCGGGATTGACAGACGCCTCTTTCTCCTGGACCTGCTGGGGCGACTATTGAGTGAGGGAGTGGGCTTCTGACAGCTAGAGGGCTTGGAGAGGAGACCTGGGGCTGTTGGTTCTCAGTTTGCGATATATCCAAAGTGTCAGAAAAGGAACGCACTGCTCTTCTAAACTTTGACGGTTTGCTCCCAAACAACCAGGTCTTCTCTCCCATTCCCCTCACACCCGCCTCTCAAGAGTTGCCTGCTCTGGCATCTCGTTCTACCTTTCACATGTGTTGTGCATTCAGAGAAGTAGGAAAAGAACCTGGCGGTTTTCGACATTGTTCTGTAAATGATTTTGTTGTTAGCTAATAGTTAAGGGTTAGAAGCAGTGCAGTGATGCATTTTATAAGGTAAGTGGGGTTGGGGAAGGTTTGAAAGGCTCAGAAGATGTTTTTAAAAATCCAAAATTGTAACATTGCAGGATGAGAATCCTACGGCCCAAAAGATGACGTTTTCTTAGGGTAGAATGGTCAGATTAGTAAATCATCAGAGTCCTGATCCTTTGGAATATTGGTACTGGACATAATTCATTTAAAGTCATCTTTTTAAAACTTCATGTTTTAATATAAGTATACTAAAGTTTAAATCTTTTACTTCTTCAACTAGCTTTTTGCTTAATCATTGACGACTAAGTAAATCTTGAAAATTTAAAAAAAAAGTCAGTTTAAGGTGACATTTAAGCCAGAGAATTAGAAAATAAGATCGTGAGATTTTATTTTTGGAGTGAAAACTAAAAACATTGGAATTTCTCCTGATTTAAAACAAGCAACTCCCTAATACAGTTTACTATGTGCCTGGAATATATCATCTTTCATATAATACTGCAAATGGGAGCATGATTTGACCATTCTAAATTTTTTCTTGTAGTTTTTTTTTTTATTAAAAAGTGTTAATCACTTTACCAACCTAAAGATTGTTAAGGATTGTGATATTTTTGGATTTAAGTAGTTAAAAAAGACTGCAGTTTTCAAATTACATAATTTTTCTGTATCATACTTTACTGTCTCTTCTTTGCAGTTTTGCTTTTCCAAAATGCTCCTCTTTTACATTTGCTTGTATTGAAATACTTGTCACAGTAATTTGCCAGATATATCTTCCACCGAGGATGTTCATAGGAAGGTTTTCAAAATGTGTAAACAAATGTGGGGAAGGGCATTCAGTCTTTCAAATTAAACTTTTTAAAAAAGTCCTAAGTACTTCAGTTGAACTTTTGACAGTTTTTCTTTGTTTTTGTTGTAAGCACAGACTTGCCCCAAAAGTCTAATAAGTTTTCTTTTGTAATCACCCTAAGCATGTTACAGAACAAAAATGTTTCAATTTTTTAAAGTATAGATGGGAAATAACTTTATTAATATGCCTTACCAAATACAAATAAACTTAGCTTGTTTGTTGCTTTTCCCCCCAGAGATTAATCTGTTTATAGTAAAGTGAATATTTGGTTGCTGGTTTTGGTAGAATCTCTTGGACGTTGGTTTGCAAGTTTGTTTGTGGAAGTAGAGGAAGCTAATATAATTGAGGATAAACAGATGAAGAATTTTTTTTTTTTTTTTTTTGAAGACAGGGTCTTGCTCTGTTGCCCAGGGTAGACAGGACAGAGTGCAGTGGTGTTGTCCTAGCTCAGTGCAACATCATACTCCTGGGCTCAGTGATCCTACTGCCTCAGCCTTCTGAGTAGCTGGGAATACACGCATGCACCACCATGCCTAGCTAATTTTTCTACTTTTTGTAGAGATGGGGATTTGCTGTGTTGTTCAGGCTAGTCTTAGGCCTCAAGTGATCCTCCTGCCTTGGCCTCCCAAAGTGCCAGGATTATAGGTGTGAGCCACTGCGCCTAGCCACATGAAGAAATTTTTAAATTTCATTTGATTTGTGTTATCAAATGCAATTTTTCATTAATTACCACTGTTAATCAAAAAACTATTTTTACTTTAATTTCAATTGATGTTGCCCCTTGTGAGTACTTTTTAAAAATAACTATAGCTCAGCATATCACCTGGTAATTGTAGTACTTTTGTAATTGTTACTACAACAAAATAGCAACACAATGCAGAGATCAAGCTTGTAGAATAGTTTAAGACAAGTGTCTTATTGTAAGTTCATGTATTTTTTCAATAAATTTTCATTCAATACCTGCTGTTTGCCAGAAACCAAAGATAATGGTGAACAAGATAAATAGGACCACCTCGTGAAGCCTACAAAATTAGCCCAGTAGTACTCTATATATCTGAGTCTTTGGTTTATTATGTCAATTGATTGAGCAATATTAATAGAATTAAATAATTTTGATGACATTGGCTTCATATTTGGGACACAATTTATCCTGTTTATTTGGACATTTAAACATTGAACATAAATTCTCTAATCATATTTTCTTCCTTTTTTTTTTTTTTTTGAAACAGAGTCTCACTGTGTTGCCTGGGCTAGAGTGCTGTGGCGTCATCCTAGCTCACAGCAACCTCAAACTCCTGGGCTCAAGCGATCCTCCTGCCTC